AGTTCTTTTCATTTGTCTCCCAGGCTGGGTGCTTCTGGTCGGGTTCCCGGCTGGCTTGTCTCCCACTTCCTTTTATTTGTCTCCTCTTCTTCCCAGCTCTGGACTGCTGTGTCCGCCTCTCCCTTGCAATCCTTAATTTTACATGTGTCTCCCAGCTCTGACTGCTGTGTCCGCCTCTGCCTTGCAATCCTTTACATGTGTCCTCGCAAGCCTTTGCATTTGTCTCCATCTCGCTTGCACATTTGTCTCCCTGTGTCTACATTTGTCTCCCAGCTCTGGACTGCTGTGGCCGCCTCTGCCTTGCAATCCTTTGTCTCCCAGCTCTGGACGTCGCAGGCTGCAGAGTGTTCCGATTCGAAAAACACAAACTGTTTGGGGTCTACGGTGGTGTAATTTTAGTAACAAGAAGCTAGTAGAAACAAGTGCCACGCTAGTAGTAACAGGTGCCTTACTACTAGTAACAAGAAGCTAGTAGAAACAAACATGAAAAGTAAATAGAATTCAATGGTCTGGGAGGCGCCGTCCACCCCGTCAAACAACTTGCTAAAGCAAGAGCGACTCCAGCTAGATGAGGCTAGCTTTCTTGACAACATCAACCTAGCAGAAAGGATTAGGGCAACAGAATAGAATCGAAACATGCAAACACAACCATCAATCTGGAGTGCAGTTGAGTTGGCATGTTCTGAAAGAATTTTCAAACACACTACTTGCCAAATAAGCTTCTCGACATGTTCAAATGTCGGCAAAACCCATCTAAGTAGCTCAGCTGAAGTAGTCAAATCACGGTGCTGTATTCAGCAGCTTGTGGACTGATATGACATGTCATGTCATCTTGAACCAGTTCAGGAGTTCTATGAATTTCTGATTGTTTTCCTGTTGACAGTGTTTGACGCATACTTTCCGTGGTGCTGAGCCTTGCAAAATAAGTGTGCATCGATGAGTGACTTCTCCTCTGCGGTAGATCCTGATCTTTTGCATGTGCCAAAGCTTCTGGAAGTCTGACAATGGCTTCTGGTGTGCGCAAGCTCTGAGGGATGGGCCAGTCAGTGTCGGCCGGGTCGAGCCCTGTTGGGGCATGTCGAGTGAGGTTCTGGACCTTGGGTGAATCGGGCGACACATCAAGGCGAACTTTGCCGCAGGAAACTCGACTCTATTTGCGATCGCTTGCCTTCAAGCTTAGTAGTGCTTAAGTATTCTGCGATAGGAACAATGTAGGTGTGGTATCCAAATGTTCCCAAGGCTTCCCAACATCAGCCTCACCAACCAGCCAAGTTATGGTGTCATACTTCAAGGAGTATTCGCCACCTGTGCAAGCCAAATGCAAGAAACTCGAAGAAATAACTCAGCTCCACAACTCAACTCTTCCACATTCACACTATCTGCCAAGAGCATCCGAGAGCAACTTCCAACTGCCATAGTAGGGCATCATACCCCTACAACTGAGATTGTCATCCTGCTATAGGTCTTTCAACTTTTTTGACACCTTCTTTATTTTGGTCAATCTGCCTGACTTGAAGGCCGTCCGCATCAAATGCGCAGAGATGGCGTTGACCTGGCGACGGGCAAAGACCACCCGGTGTAATTAATCTATACCAACACACACACACACACACACGCATACGTGAAAAGGGATGGGACGAAAGCCAGCCTTCGTAGACACTGAGAATTCTAGTGCACACTGGGTGCTTGTAGCCAGCCCTCATAGTACGTTGGAGGCCATTGCATACCTTCTGGGGCCTTTGCCGCCCTTTGGAACACTTCTGACGAAGCGAACAAAAGAGTGACAAATATCAAAAAGGAGGGCTTATGACCTTATGCCTACTATAGCGTCACTTGCACATGAAGATCAATTCTGCTTCAAAAGACACTGCCAACATGGCTGGGCCAAGTATAATCTCAAACCCAAACTATCAGTGGCAAAACTTGGAAGGTACATCGTGCAGAATGCCGTCTATGCGATATTCTGTGTACTCGGCTTGCAGAGGTGTTTTGTCCTCCCAGCAGCAGAGCAAAATAGAGCAAACATCATTAACGCTTCTATCTTCAGGGGAGTTGGGTGCATAGCCTTCAAGCAGACCACAAACATGGTCTTTCAACGAATTTTCTTTGCGGCTGTTTGGGGGGATCTAGCTAGATCCCAGAAGATAGCACTCCTTTGCTGGTGCCCTCTTTAGTTCTACAAAGCTGTGACACAGCAGCCCTTTCCGTTGAGTCCATTAGTCAAGATGCGTTTCGGCCCACCCCCTCTTGGATCGCGCGGGCCCTACAGCGGAGCAGTGCAGAAAACGGTCCTTTGTTGACACCACACATTGCCTTCAACGTTGAGGCCTTTATAGCGGCAACGTGCCTGCCTAGGTTACCGTCTTTACACCTCGCGGTCCATGTTTGCTGGGGAAGAGCCATGCACGCAACAAAGCCGACTCCTGTCCATTTGAGTGGTGTCCTGGCGTCTTTGTGATGCTAATGATTAATGATGCATTAGTCAACCTTTGTGGTACCACAAACATTTACGATTGTATCACAGATGCCACAATACACTCGCATCACCAAGGCCCTTATACATTTTGACCTCCTTTTGGTTGGCTCTCCCCTACCAGGCTCTGGGTTCACCCTGCCGCCCATCCAGCACTTCAGCCTAGCCTATCAGCTGGCTTTCGATATATATATATAGATACACACACACACACTTGTCACTTGCACGCATAGGAACATGCACCAGACATCACATGACACTTGACAGCTTACCAAGGACTCGCAACCAGTTACTATGCTATCACACATGTGAAACATCTTGAAGACTGCCCATTCATATCATGCGCTCAGTCCTTCAAGCTTTCACAGTGGCATTGCTTTGAGCAATTCAAAGCAACGACACAATGGTGTGAGGACTTGCAGGTGCCTTCATCGAGCAATACCTGTATGTTTCATTTATGTACATAATATATGCATGTATATGCACATGATATTTTGTTCAAACATATCTAGGATCTTGCACGCGAAGTGAAGGGACCTCTTCACGGCTCAGTTTGTCACCCCGTGAGCGCCAAATTGGGTTGAAGACGCCTGTCACAGCAGCAGTCTGTGGGAATGTCTACAGTATATGTACAAACAACATATATATATATAAATAGTTAATTACATATATGATCAAATACGTTTGTTATCGTTTGTTTGTATCAGAAACAGGTTCTTTCAGGACCTGCACATGTTGAGACTGCACGAACAAATCTGAAAGAGACGCGATTTCTACAGAACCTCACCATGTTCACAAAACATATGGAAGAAGGCAAAAGACTCTATAAAACTCTTCTCGGCACGGCGTCATCCCAGCAAAAAAGGAAATGGTACGATATGGCTGATTGCCTAGATTGAAGTTTGTGGTGTCTCGACCGCCGATCTTCAACCGCCGATCCACATCGACCTTGGAGCTGATTGTGGAAAGAGTTCTAGATTGAACAAGAGCTAGGCTAAGGCCTGAGATGGCCTGAGAGGTAGTGAAATCAAGGCATGGCATGCTAAGCATGGCTAAGCATCGTAGCAGCCACATTAAGAGTGTTCGCTGTAGCTTCTCACAGCAACTGTCGAAAGATTCCAAACTGCACGGTGGTCATTAACAATCGGTGTGCATGGTGGGAAGTCCGTTTGCCCCTTGGACCAAACCTGCCTAAACAAGTCAAGTCTGGTACGAAAACAGGAATGCAACAGGTTGACCCAAAAACCGGACGTAAAGCTAAACCTGGAGTCCAGGCAAAGAACATCCACTCTGAGCATCAGGGGGTAGATTACAAGACGCAAAGCCCAAAGGTCGTCTATAGTGCTCACCAAAATGGATAGAAACTGTTTCCAATACATTTTAGTGGGGATATACTTTCAATCAATTTGGGGGTCTTTGTGCACAAAGTGGAGTGTCCTGATACATTGATGCGGGCTGCTGGCAGGTGCTTTGAAATGCAATGACGTGACAATGACATTACATTCCTGAGGGCAGCAGCATAAACATCCGTTTCGTCGACAATCTCTTCTTGAATGATCTCCTCGACAATGTCCTCCAAAGTTAGCACCTGGTGTTGGAGTTGTTTGCGAGAAATGGCAGACTGCTGCGTCTTGTTGTCCGAACTGGGGGAAGCGAATGGAGGGTCCGAAGCGCACATTTTCAGCCTCTAGTGCGATGTCTCTTGGCTGATTTTCCATTTCGAGGTGTCATCAATCAACCTCTTCTATGGCTGCCTTGCTGTCAAGTTGACGAACCATGTTATCTGCTGCTTTGAGCTTGGCAACGTAGTCAATGTCTTCACTCAACTCGTGCTCATCCTGCAAGTGTCACAGCCCAGAGAAAACAAACGACCGCACTCACCACAACTACGAAATCTTTTGTAGGTCCAGGATGGTTGAGAAGTTACAAGGGCTTCATGCAACAAAAACATGAAAGACATCTGACATGCATTCTCTTTCGCCAATAGGTCCATCCATGCGAGGAGATCCTCTGCTTGCTTGGCCTGTGACGGCCTGAGCTGCAAAACCTTACCGCATTTGGCCAGAATCTCGCTCCTTGCCTCAAGGGAAGTTGGCTTAGTGTTAGGGCTGACCTGAAATTTAACAACAAACAACAGAGTCTGTGGCCTGTGTCATTGATATGTATGTATACATATACATATTATATACACGTAAAATGTAATTTTATATATCTGTTTACAAACAGGCGTTGAGCGTACTTATCTGCCGTTCAACTTTTGTCGATTGGACATGGACAGTTGTGCAAAAGAGCTCCTCGATAGCACTCCGCTGTTTCCAATGCACTTCTGCATTTGCCAGTGCGCGTTCAATTTCGGCACCTCTTGCATGACTTCGCTTCTCAAGCGGGAATGTTGCAGTAGATTTGGATCTAGAGCCATGATCAAATGCTGTGACGTGCAAAATGCCGTTGGCCTCAGGCACAACTGTATACAAACAGAATGAGGCCTGTCGAGTGGTGTCAACATTCAATTCTTTGTCAATTTGGAGATGTTCCATGCAAATTGCAGCCAGGGAACGTCGATATCAAAGGTCACTTCAATGAGAAGTATACCCCTTTCGAAAGCTGGACAAACACCATTCAACTGAAGATGTCCCACTACGTGGTTGTCTTTGGCCAGGAGCAGTTCCCCTTCAAGGACTTGAATGCACACTCCTTCTTGTCTGTGACAGTACGTGGTAAACAGCTTCGACTTCTTTGTAGGGATCGTGGTGTTCCGTTGGATTATGCCGGTCATCACGGCATCCTTCTCCTCCTCAACAGGTCAGCATCGCAACCCATGGAAGAACGAAAGCACAAGCAAACTCGCCAGCAATGGCGGTCTCAACAGGTCTAAAGCCCGCTGTTTGTGCAAAAACTTGTGAGATTGCTTGAGTTAAACCCGCTAACTCCCTCTTTGACATTCATAAAGGTTGCTAGAGGCAGCAATGGCTACCGATGTGGTTGGACAATGCCATGGAATGTTGAGAGCTCTTTGCTTCTGTGGTTGCAAACTTTGCTCATCTAGCTCCAGTCGGAGATACTCCGCCATTCACTGCTCGCGATCCCAGTGCTGCACCATGCCGCACCCTTGTTGATGGTGTCACTCTTGGTACGATGGGAGATGGGTGAGTGTGTACGATTGTGAGACGACTGGCAGGCCTTGGAGCTTCAACTGCTCGTGCAGTCCTTCCCTTCAGTGGGATTCCTGAAGGGCTTTGGCGCTGTTTTTTTGGCTTGTTGTTATGTTTTGGCATTGACACGGCTTCTCTTCTGGCGTGTGTGTGTGATTTATTGATTGATCGGCAGCAGTGATGGCAGCAACGGCAATATAGCGCTTGGAGTAAGCATAGGGGCATCAAGGAGAGGGAGATTTTCGCACTGTGGCCAACAAGGAAGGCAACTACTAAAGTAAATTCTTGACTTGCTGATTGGTGCAATGCAAGTTGGCAAGTCAACCCTGTGAAACATGCAAATATTGTCAAATATTTATGTTCAAATATTGCAACCAGCGAAACTAGAGGTCAAACAACCAAGAAACAATTATATCATGAAATTAGTAGCATGAGTGCTGGTGCTTCAACAGCAGTCTGAGAGCTGCTTTTCTGTCGAGGGTCCTTGACAAGCAGCGATTCATATTGGCACAAGGTGGAGCTGCGTGAGACTCGACAATCACCGAGGAAGAAACTAGCACCGCCCCATGATCTGCTGCAAGAAGTGACCAGCAGTGTCTCCAGGTCGGCAACTGTGCTCTCAGCAGGAAGATGTCCAGAAAGAAGTGTTTCTCCTGCAAGATTGCCTGGTTCAGCGTTCCCAGTCAGGATGGGATGGACTTCATGAAACTCAACACAGTCGCGATATATCACAGTGTCTCACTTCAAAAAAGGTGCTGCATTGAATATGGAGTGGCACTTGTGCTGATGCGCTTGATGCTACCTGCGCAGTGATGATTGACCCGCGTAGCTCTTGCAAGGCGCTGATGTCCTCAACTAACTGCGTTCCACCAGCTGAAGCCTTAGGGGAGACATCAAAGGATCCCCGCTGATTACAAACAACCTATATAAGTTGCCATAAGAAAACCACACATTACACATGTGATTGATTGGAGCACATGCATGATTCAATCCCATTCAAACCAAGAAACCACACCCAGGGAAAGGGGAGTGACGTCAAACAAGCACAATAACGTGTCATTCGGATGCGCCGCAAAGGCTGGCTGTGTAGAACGAATGGTGGTAAGAACTTTGCGCCTCCTTAGCATCATGGACACTCTAATGACTCCAATGCTACAAACACGCTACACGCGCAATTCCCTTTGCTATATGTTTGTAGCATAATTAACTTATTTCTTGATCAATGTCTGAAACTGTACAAATTCCATCAGTTTCCTGTGCACTGCTAGCTGCTTAGCAATCTGATCGTCATCCAGTCCCCGATTCAAGGCGGCCCTGGCCACTTCGTGGACTGTACCGAAGCCTGGCGGCAAAACCAGACTTCGAACTCAGCGTCAGTATATATTAGTCAGTCAGTCAGTTCAGTGCGTGCAAATCTTGGTGGACACCATGACAAACTCAAAAAATGCACCAAAACTGAGACATGTTGGTGGGAATCAGGACTTGCAGCTGCGAAATCAATTGACAAAATCGATTGGACAGCGTCCAGCCTTGGTCGAAGCCCTCGCCGCTTTCTATTTGAATATTGAGCTTCCCCAAGTTAAGGAGGAAGTTGTCACCCCTCGGAAAAGGTTGACAGAATACTTGCTTGGTGTCTATGCCCTATGCGACCAAACTTCCTGTGGTCTTGGACGTGCTTACTTCTGACTGACAACACGTCCTCTATACTATGACAACAATAGGCTCTGAATCAATGCAACTTCAGCTCCGAGACTCCAAGCTTTGGCCCTCAACTCTTGCAACAAATCACCAAGCGTTCTCAACGCGAACAGAACATGGGGTAAGCTGCTAACAAACCAAAGCGTTGTAGATAAACTTGCCATAGCACTTGGTGATCTCCCTGCAAACTTCTTACCTTACGATAGGAGCACTGCAAAGCCCTCGCCCAGCGCTCCTAATAATATGTATATATATATAAATGCAAAAAAATAGTTGTATAGTATATATATACACATATATGTGAACATATATATATATACACATGTGTTCTTCAAGCGCTACAATGCTAAAAACACATCAGTCAAAAACAGTCAAACTCAAAGCGTTCCCTGTTTGAAACCCTAGGTTGGAAAGCCAAAGCAGTTGATGCATGTCTGCAGAAGGGCCACATGCAAGGCTCCTGAGCACCGTGCTGAAAATGCCTTGCTGACCAGCATGCAGTCCAACAATAGCGATATCTTGCAGGGACTGGCAATTTAAATGCAACAGCCGCATACTGTACTGATCAGTCAGGTCCTCAGGATCCTGTTGAAATGGAAACTCTGGCCTATACATCCTGAGGGCACACAAATTTGGAAAGCGTGGAAGGAAATCGTCCAAAGGATCAACATTCTCCAAACTTAGCTCAAGTGTCTCCACCGAGCTTGCAGCTGACTCAAAGTATGCCCGATTCCGAAGCATTGCGCTCAATAGTCTGGGCAAAGTCCCATGCAAGTCCAAATGCACCAAACAAACTTGACTGTCATCGCTTCTCGAGGCCAGAAACTCCACCAAAATGTCAGTGGCTGTCTCAGGCATTCTCGAGTCCCAGTCCGTAACAGTGAGAAAGACTTCTTCGAAGCTCTGGTTTCGCTGGCTTCGCGAACTCCGGTCACCTTGCAAGCTTTCTGACAGTCCAAGATCCTCTCTCAAATGCTCAATGTGGGCCTGCTTCAGTGCGGGATCGGAGATTTGCATCAAAAGTCGGGAATCAATTGAAATGGTTTTCTTGGCAGAGGCCTTCCGGATTTTCATCTCCAGCTCCAGAATGCCCTCATCACTTTGCACATCAATGATGTCCTCGAATGATAGACGCACACCATTGTGCAAAAGATCTATACGCCACCTGAATAGCTGGAATTGAGCTCCGGAACCAAAGGAACATGATGTGACAAACCTTTGACATCTCTTGGCTTTATCCCACTTGATGCCAAAGCTGGGATCTGCAGCACAAAATGCTGTAGGATGCTGCAGGATTATTGCATTCCTCTACGACATTTTAAGGCTTCATGATCCTCCATGCGATGAAGCACATTGTAAACTTTTCTTTGTGGGGCGTCTCATGGCGTTGCGCATGCTGTTCTCCCACCTGACAATTATTCCCCTCAATGATTCATGAACGCTTTGCAACATCATGCAGCACGCTGCCGAGGCGCGCTTGCAGCTGGACCTTTTCTGCTAAGTCTTTCTTCAGCCCTGCAACCAGCAGGTGCTTTTGGTCAAGCGAGAAGTTGGCTTCCAAGCCGACAGCTGCACATCTAACCCGCACAGAATTGAATGGCATGATTTTCCAAGAGGTGTGTGGATGGTGAATCTGCACAAAAAGCGGCTTTCTGGCTATTCTTATTTTTTTTCCTCTCTCTCTCTCTCTCTGCCTCTGTTTTTACGCATGCATATCTTGAGAACTTTCTTTGCTTTTGCATCGCAGCCATTATCGATTTGCTGACAGGACATGTTCATGCTGTCCGGTCTAGAGCCAAATGCTCACTAGTCAACGGGGATAATTGCTGTGGTTTACACTACACGTTCTTGGTAACTACTGTAAATTTCCGTGGTGCAAAATATAAAAGTATCTACTAAAATATATCTTGGTATCATTGCTGCTTTCTGATACTGATCAAAATAATACGTGCTGAGCAAACTTTGCGGCCAAGTGCTGCATGTCATGCCAAGACTCCGACGCCAACAATCTCGAAGCGAGGGTTTGTGTCGACCGTGGTAATTGCCTTGCCAAACACTTAAAGTATGTAATAGTCTCTTCTTACCTTTGTTGAAGAACAACTGCAAAGTTTCACAGTAGGCTGCCAACCTTTCGGACGAGGCCCATATGTGTGCCCCCTTTCTTGAAGGCGTTCAAACACTGTACTAGTTTAGTCTCCTGTCAAAAGCAGCTTGCGAGGAGCTCATGCCGAGGCATTGCCGAACACGGGCAGTCCTCGAAGAACGTCTCTACCTTCAAAACACTATAGAATCACTTGCAAAAGGAGAGACGGCAGCAAAAGAGCTGCTTGTATAACTTATGTTATACATCTTGTAAACTTACTGTAGATATCTTAACACCACAAACACCTAGAAGCATCCAACATGTAGTTCATAATTATTGTCTGTTCGTGTGTTTGTTTGGAGTTTTTGGTGCCATGCTGACATCCAGCGTTCCGCAGGCCTTCCGGTTAAATATCTGGATGAAGTCGCCCACCTTGCACCACAAAAAACATGAGACGGTAAAAGTTTGCAAACCTGCTTCTTCTTTGTTCTAGTAATGGGTGGCTAAGCCCAGGATGAGCGAATAGAAAGACCATTAGTGACTACTCGGTCGTGTTCTTGCTTATGAAAGACCTTGACGCAAAGCGGACTTGCGATGCACAAAGTTTCTGGGGAATCAGAATCAGGAAATAGAACGCCTTCATCTCATCTTCTGGATCGGCCAGCATCAAGTCCTGCAAGCAATAAAGGCGCCTACCTTTTCCATCCTTTCCCACTCCTGAACTTGGTTGAGAGAAGTACTGCTTTCATGTTATCCTTAGTGTAAAGGAGCCCTCGGTAGTCGTGCTTGTCCATGCCGTAGATGGGAATGCGGCCTTGAAGTGTTGTAATGTTGTTTTTAAGGTCATTGATTGACCAAACTGCCTCTGCCCCTCTGCCCCTCTCCAGCTCTGCCAAGAGGCTATATCCGGTCTCAAAGATTTCCCGAATGGCATCATACCCTAGCTTGGTGCGGCTACTGAGAAAGTATGCCTTAAACGCCGAAACTTTGAAACTCTTTGAGCTCACCCAAGTGAACTGTGTGAGCTCAAGCCACCAACGCCACTTCTACATTTCACTAGGGCTTTGACATCTTCCAGTGGCGTCATGATGTCACCCACCTAACCAGGGTCAATATATGCAACTTCTTTTAGTGACATGACAGTGACATGTGGCATTGCAACCCTTTTGCGTCGGCGCCCATGTCACCTGCTTGTCACGAAAGCTTAGTGCTCCTTCAGCTACCTGCATAAAACGGCACCATTCATGGGCTGGATAAAAATCCTAGTTGACGTGCAAATGGTCAATTCATGCAAATTCAACTGTTCTGTATGAGGCTTTGCCCGAACATTGCAGCATATTTTAGAAACATGGTGGGCTATGAAAGCGATGGATCGATCAAACACTTGGCCTCTACAACCAATCAACTAACCCTGAAGCAGCATTCAGCTCCCTAAGGCCCTAGGTGCGGTTCGAACAGCCGAACAGGTTGATTTTGCGTTCACCCGAACGCCTGCTGTGCTATCTTTCCCTCTTCGGCGCTAACAGCTCCCAAAGAGATCTGCAGCTTCAACATCTCCATTAGCTCCTCAACACAGCGTGTCAAAAGCGCAAGCCCACCGTATCGGCGTGGTCTTGCCTTACAAAGCGGCAGGTGACAAGTCCGGGTTCCAGACGGTTCGGCTGTGAATTGTGCCAACTTCCCTCCCAAGCATCCAATCTAGGATGATGCTCATAGGCTTCGTGATGATGAAGAACAGAATCCTGGCAATGTGGATTGGATTTGGGTGAACCTCTCCCTAGGCTGTCCCACATAAGACAGCTTTAAGACAAGCTAAAAGCTGGCTCTCGCTCCGCAGCCAAGTTATTGACGCAGGTTTGTGCAAGGATTCTGAAACTTTCATATCTGTGACTATCCAAACTGAAAGGTGCCCGAGCCGGCAGCATCGCTTGGGGGCGCACATTAAGAACTTGACGATGGGAACTGTTCTTGCTCCTACCTCGTGAGCATGTGTCAGGAATAGTTATATAACGAGTTTCGGGATTCTTGCTTTCTTGCCCTTCCCTGACTGATCCTGACTGACAATGACAGTTTCAGTTTTGTCCAGGACATCAGTGTTTCAATGGTGAAGTTGGCCTGCAGCGCATATCTGGAGCACGCTGCCTGCGACTTGTTCCAGGTGTATGACTCAAAAGTGGTGCGAAGCAACGAAATCAAAGTACCCCCCGGGCAAGTTCCCCTAAAGATCTAGGAAACAACTGAATAGTGCGCGAGCGATCTTGCTTAAGCTACTAGCTACATCTTATGGCCTACCCCGGCCTACCCCCCTCAAAAACAAACAAGAGAAACACTTTACTCCCAGTGACCTGTGGCAGGATCTCACCAAACACGACGATCAAAGCAGTGGAAACCTGAGCATAACTGAGCTCGTCAACTCATTGTGCCAAGCGAGACAGGACAACCGATTTCTTGGTTATCACAACACTTCCTGAAATTCTCAGCCGCGAAACGAGAAAACCAATGAGGCCACTCGCAATGTCGGCGGTGAGGATCGATAAAGCCTGGCGTGTGAAGACCTTCAACTCCTCCCGAAACCACACAGCAATCAATCAACAAACTCCGCAGGAGGGGCCGAGTTCACCGCCACATTGCCTAAGAGCAAGGTACACCTGAAAGTGGCAGCTTGGCTAAGCTGAGGTGCTTGACCACCCGGACTTTAACACATGCCAGGCAAACAGCAGCTGGTTTCCGGATTCGCGAATTGGTGCAATTCTTTCTGCACACCTGTTGCGGGCAGCTTCCAACTCCCTGCCATCCCTTTCGCTTGAGGGCTCAATTGGTTGGACTTTGGTTGTACGATGGGTGCTGCATCGCGTGTAGCTTGTAGTATCTCATAGTACCTTTTAACTCCATGCGTAATTTACAGTGAATTTTCCAATTGCACTATCTAGACGCGGCTGCATGCACGGATCAAAAGTGCCTCACATCAAACGAAGATACACTGAATTGACATCTTACAGCCGAGGTGGTGCCGCAAAAAACTGTCTGCACCGGTTGCCAGTCCCCGAATTGATTATTTGTGTCTTTTTTCCAGTTTGGTGCTGGATGGTGCTGCTATAGTTCGAAACGCATATTTCCTGGTGAGCAGCGTTGTATGAAACGATGTGCTATATTGATCTATATTGGAGTGGACCCTTCCCTTCTTGAAATTTTACTTTGGCAGCGTTTTGTAAACCTCGCTGATCTAAGCATTCAAGTCTTTTGTGAAATGGCCAAGGCCTGGTGGCCGTTAGCATCCGCTGTGGGAAGGGTCACGGTCCCACTTGCGCACGCAAAAATCACCTCACGTGTGCACGCGAGGTCGATTTACTTGTGGAGGGGTCACGTCCAAAATCTCACTTGCGCACACAGGCAGGTTGCTACATTGGAATAGATTTTTTGCCCTCGGGTGGCTCACAAAAGGCAGGCACCATTGAATTGGCCTCCCTCCTCTAAATTCTGTGCATACGAAACGTGTGTCTCGGCCCCCGGTGATGCGGGGGCAGGCCACGCGAAAACGCGAAAACCGCGAAAACGGCGGAAACAAAGGGCTTGGATTTGACACAGCTCACGGTTTTCTCGAACACCGCATCCCGCATCGGCGCGAAAACGGCGAAAGCGGCGAAAACCGCGAAAACGGGAAAACGGCGAGAACGACGAAAACCGTTTTCTTGGTTTTCTCGCTTTGCCGGTTTTCTTGGTTGCGGTTTTCACGCTCAAAGGCAAGACAAGCAAGAAGACGGCGAAACTGTAGGGATGACCTTCCTCAATCCTTCCTCCCATGACGCTGCCCCGATCTTCTTTTGCGCGATCTCCAACGAGCTCTCTATTGGAGTGGATGCACCGTGCGCCTTTGGGGGCCGGGCATGCAGGCGGTTGATGGAGAATGTAGCGGATTTTCAACTTTGATCTACAGGATCTACAGCACAACTTTGAATCTACAACAATCCATAAATCATAAATGTATATCTTTTCTTGTTCTAAACCAGGCGCATTTTGCTTTGCTTGGGTCTGGCCGACAGCTCTCGACCAAAAATATGGCATCCCTCGTTCTGGCTTATGTCCATGGAGCCCATGGCATGGCAAAATCGTGCAGGATCGGAAGACACAAGATTGAAACAAGTGCGCTCTTTAGGGCGGCCTTGAAATCGGTCCACCTTTGTTGCGCCAGGCGGCTCAACGTGTGTTCGAGCAGTAGCTGCGCGGGGCCCGATAGGACACAATGCGCCGCCAGAACCCGGACGTGAATTCGGGCCTCGCTCGGTCCTGACGATCGGGTTTGTTATGGTAAGTAAGCATGGAAGGTCTGTGCCCCAGACCTATGCCGCATGCCTTATACTCTTTTCATCTTTTCTTCACAGCCGCCCTTCACCACCAGGCTAGAATCTTAGCTTATTAACACCCAACTACCCTGTTTCAGCTCTGTCTTCCAACCCTGCTTCTGAGGCCTAGGCATGGATGTGAGCATCTAGCTATATTTAGCCGAGGTCAAGAAGAAAACTGGAGATGTCTTAATGACTTGCAAGGCATACAATGGGAGATGCGTCCTGGAGTACTTAGCCTTGGAGCTCGGGAATGCCTTGGCTGGGGCGGCTTATCCCAACCATCAACGATTGATCTTAGCTGCTGTTTGCATGTGCCCAGGCCAGTCTATTGAAACAATTCTTGAACTGTCAGGAAGGCAAGCCCCACTGAACTAACTTAGAGTCCATCGCAAGCCCTTGGTTTCCAACCTGTCCTTGCGTCGCAAGAGCTCGTCGATTCCGCGCGAGGAGAGCCATGAGGCGTGCCACGGCTCTTCAGTTTGATGGAGAGGAATGGACGTCGTCTGATTCTTGTTTTTCTTTCATCCCTGGGTTCCCTCTGGATAGACTTGGTCACGTTATCTGGTCGTTCATGCGTAGTGCCTGTGATGAGGTGATATTCCTTTTGGATTGAAGATTAAGATCATTCTGATTCACTGAACTATTTACTAAGATTCGTGAATTGAACTTAACCTTCAACCGTTGAGATTTAGTGCACAACTAACAACCATAATTGAAAACCCTCGAAAGTGGCGAAGACCAAGAAAACAACGACTGCGCGAAGCCGACGCAAACGGCGAAAACTACGAAAATGGCGAAAACGACAAAAATGCGCAACGGGCGAAAACGGCGAAAGCGGCGCAAACGGCGAAAACGCGAAAACGGCGAAAACGCGAAACCGGCGAAAACAGCGAAAACGGCGAGAACGATGAAAACCGTTTTCTTGGTTTTCTCGTTTTGCCGGTTTTCTTGGTTGCGGTTTTCACGCTCAAAGGCAAGACAAGCAAGAAGACGTAAGCAAACTGGAAAAAGCTTCCACACGGGAAAACGCGAAAATGGTTTTCTCGGTTTTCTGGTTTTCTCAGTTTTCTCGGTTTTGTCGTCGCATCGCGCGGGCCACGACGCAGGTTTTGTGTTCTTAGTCTAAATTCTAACCTTGAGTGGCTCACAAAAGGTATGCGAAGTTGGAATGGCACCTTCCTCCTCTACTCGGATGGCTCACAAAAGGCCTGCGCCGTTGGAATGGCACACACCTTCCTCCTCGAAAGTTTACCATTGGGTGGCTCATAAAAAAGATATGCACTGTTGGAATGGCACCCTCCTGTGCACCGTTGGAATGGGGGCTCACCAAAAAGGTATCCGCCATTGGAATGGCATCTAACTGTGTACCGGTACCGTTAGAATGGCCCCTTCCTTCTCTAGATTTTACCATCGGGTGGCTCACAGAAGATGTGCTGTTTTCAATGGTCCCTTTCCTTCTAGATTTCTTTTTTAAACCTTGGCAGGGCTAAGAGACTCACTACGCTACAAAAGGGCGAGAAAAGGAACAAAACCAACCAGGAGAAACTGGCATAGCCTAGTAGCCAATAGCATCTAACCTCGGGTTGCTATATGTTGGAATGGTCTCTTTCATTCTTAACATTTTACCTTGGCAGCTTTGTAAACCTTGCTGGTCTAGGCATTCAAATCTTTTGTGAAATGGCCAAAGTCTGGTGGCCCTTAGGGTCCGCCGTTATGGGGTAGCGGTGGATAACGGATAAAGGTTTATCTATGTTACGTTGTTGTTATATATGCAGATTTCCTGGTGAGCCGCGTTGTGCGAACCTAGGAATGGACTTTGGGAAGCACGGAGCGCTGATCTTAGCATCTAGGTCTTATGTCAAAGAAGCAACGAAACACAAGCACGAAAGCAAGGAAGCTGTGAGAAACAGCAGGAAAAAGCAACCAAGCAATAAAAGGACCGGATAACCCCACATGTTAAGCTTGTAAGAACAAACAGCGAGAAGTAGAGGCTGATGAGAAAACAGGACGAAAAGATACTGGACGATAAACGTGAATGAGATGAGTGGTGTGTGATGAGTGGTGTAAGATGAGTGGTGTGTGATG